GTTTAATATTTATACTTTTAGTTTACTTTATAATAAATTTACAACTGGAAGATGGGTGTATCTTATCATTGGAGAAGTTACAACGAGTTTGACGGAAGTGATAATTTACTTTGCAGTAACAGCGTTTATCATACCATTTATGTGTTTGCTGATTGGTTACAAAATGTGTTCATGGTTTTCAAGTATGTTTAAACTTTAAACTATACTTATATAATTTGTTTTTCAAATAAATAAAAATATGCTGTTATTTAGAATAAATAGTTATCAGTATTTAAAATTTATTTTCAGCAGATCCACAAATGAAGGAAAACATAAAACATAAAATGTCTTAAAAACAAATGAAAAATGTACACATAAAGTATTGATGTAATAAATTTATTAATAGTCAAACTTTTATAACTTAGTATTACATGTGCAACAACGTTTACCAAAATAAATATTATTCTTGACTTTATTAATTAAAAACAAGAATCTAATAATAACAAATTATAGACTATAATTAAAGTCATGCAACTTAATTTRAAGTATATTTTTTAATTTTAATTTTTTCAAGTTAAATTATGTGAACTTGTTTAAGATTAATCACTACAAAGCTAGTTTTGGTGATGCAAAAATGTTTTATATTTTATAATTGGTAAGCCAAACGGTGTGTGCTGATGTAAAGTGATATTATTTTTATTRTTATRAATAGTTACCTAAATTAAAATATGAATTATTAGTTATTGTTGAATTAAAACTGCTTGATCATCTTCTTGAGTTTTGTTTATCTAATAAAAAAATTACATTATAATTATCTCTTAAGTGAAAAAAATTAAAATATATAATTGAATGTTATGATTAAAGAGCAGATTTTTAGGTGCTTAAAAGCTTAAAATATGATGTTAATATTATGTTCTAAAAAAAATACTAAATATTCTTTAAACTTGTAAATATACAGATATTCTGATAATCTGATTTATTTTTCTAAAATATAAAAATAAATAACTGTTATGCACCATTTCTTTGGTAACAGGTAAATTATTTAAACGTAAAAAATATAAATAATTTTATGACTTTTAATGTTTATCATTCTTAAATCATTTTTTTTTTTTTTTTTTTGGCATACCAAAAATTGTTGCAAAAATAATTTATAATTCGGGAAATTAACAAAATATATGATTTTTTATGAAAAATAATAGAATATATTATAAAATATGAAAAAGCCCATAAAAATATGTAAAAGCCTAGAGATCTGCTCTTCAGTTATGATATAATGTGCCACTATGAAATATCTACCTATTGTAGGAAAGTTTTTTAGCAATGAAAACAAATTAAATTTCTATACACAGGTACTTTGGTATTTATGCTACTGTATACTAATAGATAGGATCCAAACAAAGTTTTTGTGTATATTATTATAAATGATTTTAAATTAATCAAAATTGTATTTAACTAATTTTATGAATTTTATGAATATTATAAATTATTGTTATTAACTTAAATGTTTGTAAATTATGTTGTTATTTTCTAAAATATAAGTTTAGGTTGATCTTGTACATCGAATTTTCACATGTATGATATGAATTATTTTTATATGTCAATGTTTGTTAAAATTACGGTTAAGAATTTATATCATAATTTGTAAAATAAATTTTGTAAAAAGATGTACGAAAGGTAAAATAAATGTCGATAGGTGCTATAATTGTTTATTTGTTCTATTCATACATTTTTAGATTCTGAGTCTGGAAAGGAATATTTTAATGAGCTTAAACATTTTACATTATGATCTTGTATCGTGGAATATTTTGGGCAGATGGGACATGCAATAGTGTTAAAAATGTTTCATGTAATCATGTTACTCATGTAGATAGGTAGCTATATCTAATTAGCAGCCAAGCACGTCTGAAAGTCCTAATCAWTTATATGAATGGTACGTCGAAGAAGTAACTTTCTCAACAGAACTTGCTCTATGTCAAGAGAAAAACAACAGACACCACCAATACAAGTAAACGCAGAATGTAAAAATATGAGAAACTATTGCATAATAATAAACCTAGCCCTAAGTGCAAATAAATTTGCAATGTTATGACTAATGTGTTAAAAATCGAATATAAATCAAAGTTAAACTCATTTTTTTTTAATTTTGAACATCACTACACCGGGTATTATGTAATTTAACACAAAGTTTAAACTGTATAAGTGGTGTTATTTTTTATTGGCAACAAAATTCATGGGGGGCAGCTATCTACTTACGTACGCACCTCGTGTGGTCTAACCTGACTAATTCACTTACTGATCAACGTAGAGACTATAAACAATGATAGATCGAGGCTTGCAATTTTCACGGTACCTTCGTACCAGCACCATCGAGCCGCATAAGTGTGCATTAAGAAAGTACAATTTTCCAAAATGTATATTTTAATATGATGCTATTTGCACAATTATTTTTAGATTTAAAATTCAAGATGAGAATGTTTAAGTTTTTAACATCATTATACCAAGAATAATAAATAGCGAATTAAACAAAGTTTTAATCATAATTCAAGTAGAGTTGGTATTTTTAACGGGCAACGTTCACAGAGTCAGCWAGTATCATGTAAATATAAAAAAACACAGGTATCACTATTCACTGTTATATAGTTCTTTGTATATGCCAGGCTCATGTCTGGCCCCAATTCTTTTAACTATAACATATAATATATGTTTTTGAGATGGGAACGAAATTTTTTTTGCGCCATTACAATTTTCATGGCAACCAAACCATAACTACAATTATTTCGATTATTCGTTTTTAAGTTAATTTGATCAATTGTTRTTCAATTATTTTCTTAAAAATTTCAGGCAGATTATTTTACATTATAGTTTCAATTATTATTGCATTGCAACCAAATATTATTTTATCAACCAAATTTTTGTTACGCAGTAAAAATTAGAACGTCGACCCCAAAAATATATACAATATACATTTTAATTTWATAAGTCTAGCTTATAATCAAATTTAATTTTAATAAAGCTTTCTAAAACAGCATTTTTTTTTCAACTCTACAAGGTTCATTTAACGATTTAACATAAGGATGTAAGACACCCATTTTTTCAAAAACCATTAATGTTTTTGAACATATTTATTTTACACAATTTTATAAGGTTCTAAAAAAAGATTTTCTATTTTTTATGTTAATCATTTTTTTAATTACATGTGATATCCCGATTCAGAATTTACAATTGAAAATTAATATTATCATTGAAAAAAGTAAAAACTTTAAAAATAATAGCAAAAATATATTTTTTTTGGATGTATGGAACATACTTTTTTAAAGAAATATTTTTAAAGTTAATGATTTCTGAAATAATGAGTATCTATCGTTAAACGGATTTCTCTGTATATTATATTTATATTTAGTCTTAAATGATAAATATTTTTCCTACATAGCCCGGTAATAAGGTTTACATAAATACACAAATAATTGCAAAATTTAAATCTGATTATACTATCATTATATAGTACTTAAACATTTTTTCTTTTTTACAATTTACACTTAAGTAAATTAAAAAGTATATTTCAGGTATCAATTTTGAGGAGCATTAGAAATATTTTAAAATTTTAAGTATGATTTTAGTTCTCTCACACTAACGTTGACTTCGATTGTACACAATCATCAAAAAAATGTAAAAGTAGTAAAATAAAATTAAAGTGTCAACAATTTTGTCATCGGTTCGAAATGTGCATTCACATAGTTTTATATCTATTTGTTTTCATTCCACGTGAAAATAAATATTCAGAAAGAAAATACATTTATTTCCATTTATATAGTCATAGGCCGTATAGTAGATACCGGAATTATACGATATGGACTAAAAATGTACTAAAAACGTGTAATACAATYGACAAAATATTCTGCAACAATATGCACAATTGCTATCAAAATATGCATTAAACAAAATGTAACAATTCATAAACATTGATAACAGAAATCAGGATTGCAAATCCACCAGGAACCAGATTCATCATAAAACACGGTAACAATCGTGTCATTTTTTCTTTAATAGTAATGAAGTACAAATATTTTTCCTAAATTAAGAAATATTATGTTCAATCATCAAAAATTTTTCAGGGATAATTTTAAATACAATATTGTGATAATAATTATTGTCATCACTGTAAAGAGCAAAACCAATCAAGAGTTTAACAATTTATTAAAAAATATTCCTAAATTAAATCATACGCTATAAATAATGGCAGTAACAATAAATAAAAAACAATATAATGCAGATAGGTGTAATGTTTCAATTTAAAATTTACGAATACATAACATAGCCCTGATTGA